TGGGGTCCCTTCCAGCCCAAATGTCTATGAAATCTATGCTACATGCAGGGTAAAGAAGCTGCTTAGAACATGTCAAATTACCTGGGCAGATGCTTCTCTCTTTCGTCTGGAAATAAAAATCTTTCCAGGAACATGGTCCACTGAACCCCCAGCACAGCTGCCAGGATGTTGAATCCAATGCTGCTAAAGCTGTACCTCTTCAAGTAGGCCAGGAGGAAGCCAAAGCCAAAAATCACCATGACGTTGACATCTTGAAATGCTGCACAGCAGAGAACACCAAGAGGTCAGTAAAAGCTTGGAAGAGACCAGGCTCTAAGTGAACATCACAACAGCAATCAACCAACCCACTTAGGATAACTTTCTCAGAGCTCTCCTCAGCATTTGACCAGGACTATAGGTGAAAGAGAGGGTGATACAAGACCAGCTAAAAGAGTTGGGAATTGGGTAGAGACATAGAGTTACAAGGCCATTTATGATAGTTTATCAGGGGACAGCAAAACATTTCACATCAATCAGAGGGAGGGAACTTACTCTGCTAGTTTCCCAGACAGGAAAAGTTCTTTGTCTTACCTAAGGTCAAAGAACAAGCTAGGAACAAAGGCTGGGAGACAGCATGGTCTAGAAAATAAGGAAATTCGGGACTGTGAGTTCTACTCTGGACTGTCAATGACTTGCTGTGTGACTGGCAAGATACTTCCCCTCCCACTTCCTCTCTGTCTTCTCTATTTACCTGCTAAGCTTTTGAAGATGGTACCTGTGTGTCATGAAAGCTCCATATAGCACCCTGCACACAGTGAGTCCCAATGCCTGCTTGGGATTTCTAGGCACTACCATAATACAAAAAAACAATAGTAATAACCAAAATATGCTGGGTGCCTCATCTACTTTCTTATTTCTGGACTGCTTTCCTTCTGACAAGAGAAAGGCAGCAGGGCAAGGAGACTACAGTGGTGACAAAGGGGCCAGAGGAAGTGGGACATTGTTCTTCAGATTGCAAGAAGCGGGGGGCAGATTAGAAGTGGCGGCAGGAGGGGAGATACTGGACAGCTTTCTGCTTCAATGTGTTGTTCCAAGACACACAAACAGCATGGTTTTGTGATCAAATTAACCCTGCCTCCAGGATCAAGACAAGTGTGTAGTAACTTTGCATGTCAATAAAGCTTAGATGGGCTGATGTGCTGCAGCAGCAGTTTGAGGCCTTCACTGCAACGCACTGGCAACCCTTAGGTAAAAAAAGGAGGAGTGTGATGTCATAGACTGGGCTTGAGCTGTGATCCAGAAACTCCCTGGACCTGTTCCCTGATCTACTCCTGCTTCACTTGTGTGCCTTTTGCAAGCCACTTCCTCTCACTGCGCCTTAGTTTTCATATTTGTAAAAGAAGGGTGACAGATTAATGTCCAAGGGTCACTGGAAGAATGACCTAGTTAATATTTGCAAAGCATTAGATAATCACTGTGCTTCTACCTATTCACAGTTGGGTATGACAGAGACAATTAACATATGGGACCTCACAAAAGGAAAATGGTAAACTTCCAAAATATATACTATTGCAACAGAGAAAGGGATGGAATGGAAGACTAAGCAAACAAAAGCTTGGGAAAGAGACCTGGAAAAAGCACCTGAGCTGCAACAATGGAGAGAAATATGGGAACAGGATTACTCATCTTCCATGTGTTTTGTACAAAGAAATCATTTATAAGACACTCCACTGATGGTACCTATCTCCAAGTAGGATCCAATGCCTATTTTCTAACAGTGGTGCAACATGCTGGAGAATCTGTGGAAAAAAGAGGTTCCTTTTTTTCCATATGTACTAGTTATGTCCAGAGGCCCAAATATTCTTGGGGGAAGTGACTAAAAAATAATTGTGGTCAGTGATAACATCCCTTTAAATTCACTGGTTTGGCTACTGAATGCCCCAATAAAGGAGGTTTATTTTGTATGGAGTGAAAAACTGATACCCCGTTTGTTTTCAGCTGCTAGATTGTATTACTCAAGGGTGGAAGGAATCACAATCCCTGACCCCTGAAAATGTGGTATGCTAAAATATGTGACATCCTGGTAGAGAAATGAACACCTCATGTTAGATTATCAAAGAAGAGACAAGAGGGGAATAGATATTTAAAAATATGGATTCCATTCCTGACCCATGCAGAGCACAAAAATTTACCAGTCAGATCCTTTGAATATGAATCAATATTCCTGAATGTTTTATTTTACATATGAAATGAAAGAAC